GCTGTGGGCACCGGCGTTATCGTACGGCCCATACAACCCATTACGCCCACACCATTGCCACCCATGCCGTAGTTCTAAAGGGAATTTAATAAATGACCATGGTGTAGGGTTTTTTAAAATATTTTAAATCAACTTGATTTTTATTCTGTTATAATTAAAATTTATTATATTTACAATTACGATGGACAAAATAATGTTTTACATAAGTTAAGACAAATGTTTGAAATACAGTATATTATTAATATTATATTAATGTAATAGATTATCACTGATATTTTTGTGATGATTAAATTTTAATTTACTTTCATGTGTTTTTCCAAATTATTATATTAACTAATCATTTATAAAACATAATTAAATTTAAAGAGTATGGTCATAACAATATTTTTAAAAATAACATTATTTTGGAAATTAATTATTTGCACAAATAACATGTTTAAATATTTATACAAAAAGTAGATCACTAATTGTTAAAAAAAATTAGTTAGGCAAAAAATGTTAAGGATGAATGTCCTAAGCTATTTATTTGATAAAATTATTGGTTTGAATAAACACAAAGATCACAGCGATGCTATACAAATAAGTTAGAGTGATCATCAAACGCTTGTGCTTGATAAGATTTAACATTTAAATTATTGTAAAAATAATTATTTAAAACTAATTAAATTTTAAATTATAAAATCATTTAACATACGAGTTGTTGAATTAATTTGGGAAACTCGTCGATACAGTCAAAACTGCCGATTCTATTTGCCATTTGTGACAACATTTTATATAAATTGCTGCCATATTTGAGCCCATCGTTGAAATGAATTTCAATCCGATAGCCTCCACCTCCCGGTGCCGTAACCGCTAAAAACCAACATAATAAGAAATGACAATTGTACAAAATTAACCAGGTTACATACCTGAACTCAAGGTCACCACTGAGTGTGTGTTGTCGTCGACAACGGGCGCCACCGGTGGCCGACACGTGTTGACCGAAATCCAGGGCACGCTAGACGTGGCCACCGATGACAGGCGTAGGGCCGTATCGACTACTATGACCGCCGGCCGAAAGTCGATGAGCGCTCGCGCGAGCATTGCGTCCATTTTGGCCGTCCATTGGACGGCCGTTACGGCCGACGTCAACATCTCAGACTAGTCGTCCGGACCGGTGTCCGACACTGTGTTGCTGATGTCGGTTATTATCCATCGTATAGTCGGGTACTTTTCGGACAGCTTTACCCGCCGTTCAATCGGTATATTATACGTATAGTCGACGAGTATAACCGCCCGGTGTCCACCCGTTTTCGCCACTGTCTCAGCCATAGATATGGTCGCGTCAATCGACTCGACCCCGACGACGGCACCAATAGTACAGTTGAAATATTTTGAGACATTTTTTGCACAGTTTTTAATTTTTTAAAATATAATCAACACTTATAGCGACACAATCTGCTAATAAATGCGCTCGTTTTCAATGATTTAGGCCAAGACTGCTAATACATCTATCTGCAAAATTTGTATAATCACCATGATAAATCAGTTGTTAAACATACGTAAATAACATATTTTATATTATTACTAATGGTATAACTTTTGTCACCCACCACTTGGAATATTTATAAAATGATCATGCTAAATCCAGCTATTGGTATACTATTGTCAAACACTTTTGGCTAAAAACAGTTTACTAACTGTTTGTAAGCATTCAATACAAAGAGTGATTTAAATTAACAATCATTTAACTGTAATTATATAATGTTTAGTTTTAATATATTTTACATTTTTATATTTTGGTATTTAGATTTTATTGAAAAGTTTTTTCTAATTTGTTAAGGCTAATTAAAATATTGATTATAAACCAGCATAATAAATATTTAACAAAATTAGCATTTACAGTTTAAATTAATGACATAATATATTGTATTCTATTTCAGTAATATTGCATAAATCTAAAATCTAATTATTATAGTAATGCTATTTTAATTTATAATTATTATATTTTTATTAATAATTATTATTGTAAAGATTAGATCAATAATAACAGTCCAGTATTTGTTGGGTTGACTGCAAGAATTAGTTTTGACACAATGTATTGATTGCAAAAATCAGAGTTTTTGGACAATAAATTAGTTAATAATGTTTTATAGTTGGGATCATTCGTGACATGCTTTGCATCGATAGACCAGTGGTTATACTCTTGTAATACTTGTCGACAATCGGGTCTATCTTTGGGTTCCAACGATTGCATACAAATCAACACTTTTTGTAATTCAGTCACACTTTTGGATAGAGTTTTGTCCGACGAATACAAACGTAAACTATAATTATTATGAATTTAATTCGTAAAATAAATATAAATTAATAAATAACATATTTAATAATATGCTTACAATTTACGAGTTAATCGCACTTCAAATATATTTTGTGCGATTTTGGCCGCACTGTAAACATCTGTCTTGTAATCAACAGTTTGTCCATTAGTTTCTTCGGGTGATAAATATTTCGCATCTCAATTATGAGACAGGCATTCAAAAGGTCCGCATAAACCGTAATCGCATAGTTTTAGCCGATATTTGCCATCTTTTGCGGCGATCAACACATTCTCGGGTTTGAGGTCCCGATGAATGACTGCTGGACTCAAATCATGCAAACATTGTATGCATTCCAACAGTTCGGACAATATTAGACACGAAATGTAATATTCAGACGAATTCATGGCCTCTTCGGCCGATCGGCGGCCAAACGCCGGGCCTTTCATTGAAAGTACTGCCCATAAACTCCCGAAACTCAACTCCATTTGTATGTAATACCTGTGGTCTTCAGTCCATGTTATAATATATTGGACCACATTTTCTGTGCAAACGTTTAACAAATCGCTTAATAATTTTTTTGCTTTGTTATCAAAATTCTGATCTAAAAATTAAATTTTAATAAAAAAAAGTTTTATATAAAGCTTTACAATACTAAATTAAAATAACAGTTTTATCAACGTAATTATTAACATACTGGTCATGTATAGCATATTTACAATACCTGGGATATCGACTATTTTTACAGCGTAATCATTTCCATCTGTTGTATCCTTTACTTTGAAAACTGTGCCAAAACATCCCGAACCCAATACAGACAACTCTTGGTAACGGCGTTTATAAATAGTCAATTTTGTGTCAATATCTATGAAATATAACTGTATAAGTTATTTCATTTTACATGTTTTCATTAATAATTAAACAAATCATACCATCAGTTAATTGTTTTATTTGGTCAAACAATTTGTTTATAAATTGTCCACATTTTTCACGAAATGCTTCAAATTTCTCATAATTATATTCTTTATAATCAGATTAACGTATTATTTTGTATGTCATTTGGGTTTTGACTAAATAACAGTCAAATATATTTGTATGCACGGTATCACGCAAATCATCTTTCTCATAAATGCTATACTCTTTGCCACCGGATTTACCATTAATATAAAAACAGTCTTTTATATACGAGTGAAACGCGTATAATTGATCTAGAGTGAAATTTCTATCCGGGTTATCGACCATAAAATAATTGTCAAACAATTTTGTCATAGATTTTTCTGCTAAAATCGTGTTATTTTTATTGATATAAGTCCCGCAAAAAAATACAAAACCATCGGTTGTTAGGAAATAGGTTTGTGTGACCGCCGGACACACCGTTTGGACGTTAAATAAATCGGCAATCATTTGAGGCTTAATTATATTGTGATTTGTGTTGTGTCCCAAACAGTACTGATTTTGACCCCAACTAAACACACGGTTGTCAGTTGTGATGGCAAACGATGTAAACCCGGCACTATATATTCCCCGTATTTTATGCTCAGTACTGTTGTCTATGAATTGAATTTTCATTGGGGTTAATATATCGTCAGAGTCCGGCTCAGCGCAACACAACTGTCCATACATATTAGCGCCCCATCCGTAGACACAGCCATCACTGGTCAGCACAAGTGAGTGGTAATAACCGCAACAAATATCACTAATATTTAGATTATTAGCAAATGATATGATTTGCGGTTTTAAAAAGTCCTTGCTAATTGGCCTGGCTAATTGCGCAAATTTGTTATAACCCCAACCGTATATACAATTGTTGCCATTAATAGATAACACAAGATTAGTACTACGAAAAAATTGTTGAACTTTCTGTAGACATAATTGTGGTATAACTCTCGATCACATAATCGCAGCCCACCTGACCATATCTGTTATAACCCCAACCGTATATCTGACCATCAGTGGTCAGCGCCAACGAGTGATAGTAACCACAACTTATTTCTTGTATAGTTTTATGACTAAAATATTGTATAATTTTAGGCTTTAAATACCTATTGATGCCCCGTCTGGCCAACTGTCCAAAAGCATTGTAACCCCAACTATACATACATTTATCTCGATTAATACCGATAACAAAATTTAGTCCACAAATAAATTGTTGAATATTCGCATTACCAGTTTATTTACCATTTACCATAAACATTATATTTTACTGCAATACTAAAATATACGCGTTCTAAAAATTGGCCCGGGAACAAATACAAAATTTCCAAAAAAATTTTGCATTTAATCTTTTACAATTTTCCAATTTTTAACGTCTTGAGTTGGTCACTCTAGCCAATATTGTGAAATTGAAATTACGCAATTATTTTCTAATAACCATCTGTAAAAAAATCTAGAATTCAATTTAATTAAAATAATTGCAATTTATAAAATTTTTGTAGTTTACATCCATAGATATAAAGTGATTCAAAATTAAAATAAATAACTGTTTGATTGAATCTAGCTAACAGTATCCTAATTCGACATGTTTCTCATTAAATATACATTATTGTTTATTGTGATAAACCTGGTCAAAACAAACCCAACCAACAGGTATTACACATTAATATGTGTTAAATTATATTTATTAATTTTAACCATTTTAATTAATAATGGTTTTAAATTAGTGTTGTCTCAGAAACATAACAAGTTCCTAACAATCTGTCAATAAGTCCTTTCTCTACAGATCGCCCGACAATTCCTGTCACTAATGATCGGCCCATAAGTATTACTACTTATACTTCGGGAAAAACACTAAGTGCTCGACTGTTGGAGCCGTTGATGGAGTCATTGCCGCGACTGTTTGCCGAGGACTACGTCCAGGAAATACTAATGACCGGAGAAATGAGTTGCAAAAACATACGATACGGACAGAAGTACTGGAAGAGAACTAAACACGTGTTTCTCAGTGAGTAGTTATGTAAAGAAACTTTACACTAAACCAGATTATGTACTGTATATACAGTGTATTGACGGGTACAGGAACTTATGATAATTAGTTTAATTAATATTTTTTTATTTGTTTGCCACCCATTAATGAGCAGCGATTTTAGAAATGTTAAAACGTGCGCTAACTCTGGCCACCAATGATAACGAGCGCCAATTTCTGGGCGGAGTTGTGAGCGAAATGGGCCGAAATCTGGGCAAATATTTGGACAATTTTGAACACTTATTGGGCGGCATTAGTGACGACATACTGATGTACGCGCCCACCGATACGCTCGCCGATAACTATATCACACTTTGGCGCGAAATCAAACGTAATTCATTTGTACGGATGATGGCCACCGATCTCGTGCCCCTCTGGCACGTGTTAGAGCTCCGGGCGTATCTGACACGTCAGCCCCAATACAAGTCGAGTCCGTTGACTAACTTTATACTTTATACGGACCTTCCAATTGAAGCAATGGTCAACTTTTACAAGAGTGTCATTGACTCACACGCGCCAAATATAACGGCCGCCGAAGAGCACGAGCTCTTCCAACTGACCAATGAAGCGAATGATCTCGATTTCAAATTTTATATTAGTACGTAACCAATGGTATATATAGAGTAAGATTGTGCTGACGATGTTTATAAGTTGACGTGGTTCTTAATTTACTAATTATTATTCACACTAATCGTTACTATTTATTCTAGTCATTGTATGCCCTGTTTTTATAAGTTTCATTCAATTCAATTGTATTATAAGTTTAATATTAGTAATAATGGTAAAATATGTGAAACCCCACTCATTATATTAATGTACACTATATACAAGTATGAGTAACACATGAATAGAGTATAAATTACACAGAAATAGGCTCTTCTGGGCTCTCATTAAACTCGCCTACAGCACAATCTTAATATAGAGTGTATGCGATATTTTGTTTCATATTTGCATAGAGATAATGCTGTATTAGATGAGGCAAAATATCGCAAGTACACGTTGTTTTTATACATTGTTTGTCTAATGTATGATTACCATAATGCAGTAATAAAGCTCAAATATTGACATATGTTTACTTTCAGTGCCTATACTTCCAAAGGACAAGACATTATGCGATCGAGATGTTGGCCATGTTAATTAATAATGACTAGAGACAGCTCGTAATGTCGATCCATACAATACGGGAAATATTAACCTAAAAATATTTTTTTAAATAAAATTTTTTATTCACTATGTATTGCATCTCATTATTGATTCAAGTGTGGACACATCTATTGGATCAAATGAAAACCTCCTTGCTTGAATACGAAGTTGTGTAGATAAAATTCTGAAATTAGTTTTTGAGGGGTGATCTCAATGAGTAAACGTTTAGTTGGTTTAAAACGCTTTATTGATTAATAAACGGCAGATTAGCCGCAAAATGTGGTTATAATTAGTGGTGTCGGCGACGGCCGAAGTGGTTATACAAAAGTCGTTATTATATGATAATTGAATGGCGACTTTTGGCCGGCCGTAGGTCTTGACAAAGACTTGTAGTGAATGAATGGTGTGATTGAGTGTTGACTCAAAGTGTGACTGAAGTGTTGGGCGGAAAGGGATAGAGAGAGAGAGAGAGAGAGAGAGAGAGAGAGAGAGAGATGTTTTTATAAACAGAGGGCTGTTGAATATTTTGTACATAAAGCTTATAAACCATTATACTAAATGTCTATAAAAACTATACCTGATATAGAGATTGTCCCAATACAAAATTTATAAAACATTAACTAATAATTGTTATAAAAAGAATTATCAAAATCCGATTAATACATTGGTTGTTATAATATAGTTGAAATGTCATATTTTTGAGGAAAACTTGTTGCAATTTTGAAGTTTCTTTAGAAAATGCTGTTAGTTAAATTAATAATCCTTTGAATAATTGATAAACAAACATTATTTATTTCTTTTGTCAAATCAACCACAAAATATAAATTTATATAAGTAAAAGCATATTAATGGGGGCGCTAAGGCGGGCGCTAAGGTGTGCACCGATGGCCTGTTGGCCATTATTACGTCACTTGCGGCCAAATTGTCCGAAAAAACAGCAAAAAGTGTTGACAAAACATGTGATGAAAAATTGGACGCCATATTGAATGCAGTAAACAACGTGTCAGCAAAGGTTGACAGCATTAAGACATCAGTAGTCACATCGAAAACATGGTCATCAGTGGTGAGCAAAGATCTAAACATGGTCATCAGACAAACCACTGGTCAATCATTGAATTCGAAGGCCAACGAAATGAAAATAAAGACAAAACTGAAGACAAATAAAGATATCAATGTCTGTCAGACGAGACACATCACCGGTGGAGGTCTGGTCGTCGACTGTCCCACAGAAGCGGACCGACAAAAGTTGATCCACTGTTTAGAGCAAAACATCACAGATATGTCTGCCTCTAAACCAAAGCTAAAAAACCCGAAGATTATTATCCATGGAATGGATAATGAATACAATGAAAGCGATATTATCACTGATATGGTGAACAAGAATAGCGATCTCAAGACATTCTTCGACAACAATCTCTCTAAACCTGAAGAAGATATCAAAATACTATTCAAACTACGAAAGTCTGATCCGATGGCAGCGAACAGTTGGGTCATAGAGACTGATCCCGAAGTATTCAAAATCTTAAGACAATTGAATCGTGTATTTATCGGTTGGAAATCTCATAAAATTAGTGAATATCTATTCATTAATCGGTGTTTTTGTTGCCATCGTTTTGGACACAAAGCCAGTGACTGCAAAGACAAAGACACAATCGGACAGATATGTGGTAACTGTGGTGTACAGCACAGTCGGTGAGAGTGTAATAACCCTAAGAAGTGTATCAATTGTCTCAGACATAACAACCACCCAAAGACGACAACTGTTAGGTCAACAGATCACACGGCTTTCGACAACACCTGTCCATCATTTTTGCGGCTAAAGAAAGTGATTACCGAATCCACAAACTATGGATAATATCCCAAAAGATTGTATAAAGCAGTTATTGAGAGCAATGGCTATAACTGGCGACAAATATTATTTATATTTTTTAGAAAATAACATTTATAACTATTTTGTAAATTATTATAAAATTATAATGATATAACTTAATTATATAACTTCTACATAAAACAAACAATGTAAGTAGTCCTTTAGCCCAAGTGAAGACGTCGCTACCCCCACTCCTACCCCCACATTCCATTCCCGGTCAAGTTCCCACACTGACCAACGGTCATCCACCTTAGCCCCTATCCTTTGAATAACAACCATAATAACTAAAAACTGTATCATTCAATATGTGGACACCATTAGTAATACTTTAAAACATGTAATCTCAATCAAACTATAACTTTTCAAATCCTATTGTTTTCTGTATTTTTGTTAATAAAAGTGCTTTTAACGAGTAAATGCTAGTATCTAAATAACTAGTGATTCAACAATCACCACAAATTGGCGACGAGGATGGGATACTGGCGCTAACTTTACTACAAAAAAAAGTACTCCATTACCACCTTTACGGACAAACAGTAAGCAAACATTCATACAATTAATGAAAAAGAAGACAAACAAACAGCAAATACCAACACAACATACATACCCATTGCGGCAAACACCACAAAGACAGACACAATTGGATCAAACATACAATCAAGGACCACAAACAAGTGCCACATCATCACAGCCGCCATATCTACATTCAAGCATACATAATCCAAGTGGACAAACTCCTAGCAAGACAAGACCACTTGGACAACAACAACACATATTATCAAATCCAGCAAATTATTTCCAGGATTTGGCCGAAACAGAGACAAATCAAACATCTACCTCACATCCAGACCCACCGAGGCAAAGACAAACAACAACTATCACACCAATCAAACAGGACAACAGAGCGGAACCCAAGACAACAGCATTACATACAACAAGAGTGTCCGGACTGACAACCAGCTCCACCCGTATATCATTCATACAAACTGGTAGGCAACTCGCCTATCCGTTGCCGAGAAGACTATCGCTACCAACCGACGCTAAACAATCTGTAACGGGTAACACAAGCAACCTCAACCGGACCACATCGGACACAACCCTACCAACAACGACCACATCCATACCCGCTTCGATTGCCACGTCCTCTCAAACGCAAACATCTGGGAATCAAACTGGAATCCAATCAACAGGAAGTCAAACAACAGGAAGTCAATCAACACATACACAGATAAGGAATTTAATGACTACACAAACCACAAGTACTACTAATCCTGTACAAACTCCTGTCCCATTTAATACAATGGCAACAAATAAGCCAAAAATCACACGCTATAACGGCAAAGACCCAACCCCTACTATTAATACATGGGTAGCATTATTTGAAATAGCCACACGTACAGTTACTACAGACGAAGACCGTCTGATAGAACTCATGGGCTATCTAGAAGGTGATGCGCTTGAATGGTTTGGGGCTACAGTCGCGCCTAATATAAGTACACTCAAATGGGTAGATTGCAGACAACAAATGATTGATAGATTTAACCAATCACTCATATGCCCAAACATAGCCGCACAGCAGCGCAAATTTCAATTCAAGGAATCAATTAAGCAATACTTCGACGACAAAATGACATTCCTATTACAGACAGGTCTAAATGAAAAATGCATGGCTGCTGAGCTCACTAGCGGTGTGCCGTATTTATACAGACATGTACTAATTGCCGCTCAAGTAGAAACAACAGCTAAGTGGTTGTGCGTCGCATTGCAAACAGAAGCCGATCAGAAAAGCCAACCACCGCGTAGACCGGACAACAGACCACACCTACTGAACATGAACTCATCGAAAGACTACAGATACAAACAACAAGACAATCAATTTAAAGACAACACTGGCCAACAGTTCCGGCCATACAATAAGGCTGGACCTCCAAAGCCTTGTTACTATTGCAAGGGCATTGGCAAAACAGAATGGCATTGGCATAACGAGTGCCCAAACAACAGCAACACACGACAACAATACAATCCTAAACAATACACAAACAAAGCAGACAATGATGACAAAAGAGTCGTCTCAAACATTACAACAGATAAGTACCACAATGATTTCATAGCTAAACATAAGAAAGCAGAGAAGGATTTCATTAAAATCAAAACTAAGATTTATGACACCCCTCTACTGGCCATTATGGACACAGCTAGTACAGCCAATCTCATATCATTTAACATTTCAAAACAATTGAATTTAAAAATTATTGACAATACAGAAACAGACATAACATTAGCAAAGGGGCAAACAAAAAGCAAAGGTTTAGTCATATTTCCTATGACCATAGGACATTTGACAAAAACTATTAAAGCTTATGTAATACAGAATTTTCCCTACGATTTCTTACTGGGAATAAACATTGGAAAACATTTTCCCCTTACATTACAACTACACAACAAATTAGCATTAATAGACAACCCCCAGACATGCAATACAACAGCCATTAATACAACACAAACTCCCAAAACAATTGAACAAGTAATAAAACATAATTCAGATTGTTTTGCCACAGAAAACACAAAAATGGGAAGTATTACATTAGAGAAT